AATATTATTATTATTGATTACGAAAAGTAAAATATTATCAATGAAAATCTTGTAATTACCCAGCAATGATCTGCTCCGCGTTTTGATTCCAATTAAAATATTTATAAACTAAAATAAAAATATCAATACAAATAAAAAATAGTACCTCTGGTTAGTTATTAACACGCTTCTTTAGGAGACCCAACCCAAACCAAACAACAACACCCACGTTTTGTCATCTTGAACTCTGTCGAAAAATTAAAAAAAAAACGATTCGCGTCTGTCCTCCCAAAAAAAAAAACCAATAGGATAAATAATTAATGTGTACGCGTCGATCAAATAAACTTTTTTTTTAAAAATTTCTTAAAAAAATGTCCTACCGTCCAAAGAAACGAAATCAAGAAGAAGGTGTTGGTGCAGCGATTGCTGGGTAGGTGTTTTAAGAATAAGGTGGTTATCGCCACCACTCGTCACTCTAGTTAATTTATATAATTTTGTAAAGAAAAATTTAAAAATGAATAAGTTACAAAAATATAGAAGATCAATCTGGCGCCGTGAGAGGGTAAGTGTTTATTGTAAGAATGGTGGTGGTGATTATCAACACCAGAAAATAAACTTTCATTAAAACCTTTAACCTTATATTTATTAAGAATTACAACGAACAATCCTGATGATGGTAAATCTACTTCTGTAAGTAAATTGCATTTCTTTAAATGGATAGAATTGATTATTTTGAAAATAAATGTATGACCAAAGCTTACAAAATATGTCGAACTTACTTTTTTTACAGATCAAGTTATTTGGGAGTAAGTTCTCTAAAAGAAAACTTGATGTGTTATATATTTGCAACATTTTTAATATCATTGATTCAGTTGATTTTATATTAGAAATTATGAAAATAATAATTATATATTAATCATATCACTTATTATAGTATTTTATGTTTATATTTTTCTTTGATGGTTAAAGACCAAAGTATTATAGGTCATGAGGTGGTAAATCAGGATGTTGATAATTATGATAAAAAGGAGAAAGTTAGCAATGATAAAAGAATAAATGATATGATGCCAAATTTTGGATATGGTGTCAATCAAGTAAGTTTTTTAAATTCCATAAATATGGTGAGATTTAAACTAATTAATATAATTTATAATATTTAGGATATTTGTAACAAATTACTCCGAAGTCATGTGTAACATCGGGGTGGTACATAAATATTTACATTAGAAACGTGACACATTTATTATTATTATTTGTATCAATTATTTTGTATCTTAATTATATTTATTATTATTATCTATGTCCACAAAATCTTCCGGATAGATTGATAAGAATCTTATGATTATTATTA